TGAGAGGGCCGTGCCGCCACGCAATACCTCACGGCTCACCTGTGTCATGCCCACCGTGTGATCCTGTTGACGTCTTGATCTGTCTTCTCTGTTGAGCTCCTGGATAATTAACTATTGACTGAGGATTTGAACATGTACTGGGTGGGGTAGGGAGGGAGAGACAGACACGCTTACTGATCGATATACAGTGGAGGGGAGAGACAGAGACAGACTGGAAGGAAGAAGTGAGGAAAAATTAAGATATATACAGTATAGTGAACAGAGGATATGTGGAAGATACGCCTTATTACACCGGGGTTAATTGATACTCATTCTTCTTGTATGTTGGCAGGTGTCGAGTCGTTTGGTAGAAGCTATTTATTATACGCTATGATAAAATTCTGGTTATATTCCCAAGACATAGGTGGCGGGTCAGAGTCTGGTGAAAATAACTTAATTCTTGATACAGTTGACAGTTCCTTCTTTCGTTTGCTTGTTTGTTTGTTTTTTTGTCTCTATACAGCACTTTATTTGAAGAGAAAAAGTTTATAATCAGCAAGGGATATACAGCTTTATTCGCTTTATATATTCAAGATGGAATAATTGTTTCCAGATTTATATTTTGATACTGTGATTAATATGGAATTTCGATCTGGCCTATAGATTCAAAGACAATTTATATGCTTAAAATTAACATTCATCAGATTAATTTTTCAACTTTTCGCTTCAAACAAAATCAAAATACATTGCTGGAGGCCGTACTCTGTCATGAAGACTCAGGCTGGAGATTCCTTCAGCAACACCCACCAGCTATTGTTTCAACACGAGACAACACATTTCCGAAATAGAAATACTCTTTTTTTTTTCATTCCTCTGTCCGCCTTTTTGCTGCTTCTCAAACTGTTTTAGGATACAACAGTGTATCATAAAGTAGTATATAAAACAGGCTTTCTTTGTTGCATTTTGGAAATAAAAATCGTAATTTTAGATCCATAATCATCATAATACAAATTTATTCATAAAACAAAATTGTCTTTCTACCATTTCCCTAAAAGTGTACCCTAGATTTCAAAACAGTCTTTCTACCATTTCCCTAAAAGTGTACCCTAGATTTCAAAACAGGTTACCCACAAATATTTTTGTTCTCTCTCCCATTTCGTTCATGAAACCTTTTTACCATGGTAAAAATTTTACACAAAATGTTGGGGCACTCAAGCATTAATTGGCCATCGCGACGTACACCTCCAATTTGGGTAAATTTAGAACTATTGGCATATAGAATCATTCGTGGGATTTATGGACTTATAAAATGTTTCTATTTCATACAAATATTTTATATTCAAATTTGTCGGAAATTAAATTCAGGATTTCAATGGCTAGTTACGTCTCGTGTTCATCAAACAAGATATTATTTATTTTAGTCATTTAAAAAAAAATAAGCTAAACCTTTCAAAATTTATAACGGTTGCAGTAGAAAATTGTTTTATTTGAAATCGTATTACTTAAAAAAAATAAATGATTCTGATTTGCAAAGGAAATTAATTCTGAAATGTACACTATAAATCCAATTATATTTTGAGTGTTTTCTTTTGACAGACAACAACAACATTTCCAATTCAATTCTGACATCAAAGCTTCTTCACACCTGGGCGGAGTGTCCTACAATAAAACACTGCTACCAACAGTTCCTCTTAAAACAGACAACAAAAATACAGCAAAAGAAACAAATCTCTAGTGGTTCATCCTGTAAACTCCTCTGAAGTTATCCTTTATATGATAATTATATTCATATATAATGTTTAAAAAATACTTCAACCTAGTAGATTTATGTAAAAGCCGTAGCTGTTATATGGATGAACTTCTTGGATAAGGTCGTAGAATGCACACTTTATCTGTACATAACGTTTAATTGCTAAAGTAAATGTGCTTAAAATCTTATGAGCGAAATAAATTAGACATTTATAACTCGCTAAATATATCATGACAACAACAGAAGGCTACCGGGTATCTTCTAAACATTAAATTGTTGATGACTCGTGTTATTGCTAACCTAGTTACGCACTTAAAGACCTTAGTTGTTAAAGCAGAGTAATAACATTATACCATCAACATCATGAGGCTGATGTTACTGCAGGAGCCACCACCATCTGAGAGTTGATGGCGCGTTTATTAGGTTCAGGGAGCAAGAGTTGGGCTCGAGTAGGTGACAGCGTCTGGGCGTTTATCGTGTAAAGTTCTCCTTAATGGCTATGATCATCATAAGTGAAGTGTCAACCATGTAATTATAATCTCGTTTTATAAATCATGAAGGCCATTGAGCGAGATGTCGTCACTTCTTCAGTACGATAACCTATCCCAACCCCCTCAACACTTTTAACTTAAGTCCCTTAGTGCGATACCCGAACCTTTTATTACGATAATCTGTTCCCTCAAATACAAGTGCTATTGTTATCAAGTTGTTACATCATCGTACTCGAGGACTCTGCTGCCTCTGGTGTGTTGTTAAATAATAGCTTGTGGATATTGAAGACCGTGGGTGTATTTCTTAAGGGTCACCGGTACTGCAGGCGTAATCTGAGTTTCCACCAATAGAACCACCCAACCATGACTCTTCTCGGTCGTCTTGGGACACCACCTCAGGTTCGTAGTGTATTGGTAAATCAGTAAGTTTACTGGACCCGTCACCCACAGCAGCGGCGGCAGTTTTACAGCCTGCAGGGTGCGTAAGATTTGTTTTTTTTTAATGCTCTATTAAGTTAGCTGTATTTATATAAAGGTATATTATATGATTTATCGATTTATCTACGTATTCCTAATTTGTTTTGTTGTAATTTGGTTTTACTTTTAATAATTTACGGTTCTTACGTATTTATTTAGGCTATATGTTTGTCTTGTTAAATACTGTTCATCGCTTTGTTTATTTTGTTGTTGAAAACTGAAGAGGAATTTTCTCTACTATGTAAACAAAAGGCAACATTTAGACGGAATCACAAACAAACCTCACAAAGATAAGCAACACGAAGGTCACACGTTGGAGTTTACCACATCATTCTAAAACATAAATAATTTCTAAGTTAAAGTATCAAATATCGTTTATTGAGAATATTACAGATTGTGCTTAAGATTATCCAGTGTCTATGATTATTCTGATGATTAAAATGGAGAGAAAAACGGATATTATTTACAAGGGTAGTTACAGGTTATGTCCTTCAGTACATAGGCTGTAAGCTGTGTGATCCACCTGAGAGTAAAGGACAAAATTCACATAAAAAGATGATTAATTCTCATAATATTTGTTCATGAAATACGACCTCAAGACTTCATCGACCTTGTTTGAACAACCTAAGTAGGAACTGAATTAGTGAGATATTTTCTTGTTTTAAAATGAGTTCTTAATCCCTCGGCATCTCATGAACTAAAATCGTTAGTGGACGAGAAAAATATTTTATATTATACTTCTGTTTATTTTTCTAGGTGAATTTCCTGGGTTGCTATCATTGACATACAATTCATATCATCTGGCTCCTTAGGAAGGCTCTTATTTAATGCGACTTTTTAATAGTTAAAATCATTACATCCCGATAATACTGTACTAATAGTCGAAATGTAATCTATATATAGTTATGGGTTGCATTCTGAATTTATAATCTTGGAAGTGGTTTATAAATTCCAGTAACAATTTGTATAGGAACACACATGGATCGTCTCATTCTGAAGACTGCTTGAGTTCCAGTCTTGGACCGAAAAATTGCATAACAACTCACTAAAGAAATATCACCTTCACCTAGAAAAAAATGTTCTTGTGAGTCAAACTTATACAATAATTTTTAAATAAATACAGTCATGCATGTGTATATAAATATGTGTATACCATTATGTGTATCAATACAGAAAAACATATTCCATCTAATACTTGACAAATACAAAACTTTCTTTCTAAGCCAAGGACTTTTTCACCCAGTGGGCCACGAACTCTTATTAAAAGTTATAATGACTCTCAAAGATATCTCTGTAAAATTACCTCACTGTTATCACGCGCTCAGGTTCACTGCTCGCAAGACTGGCAAAGTTCCTAACTCTAGATACGAGTTTCATGAACTATTTTAATATAGTGAGCAGAAGTAAGAAGTGAAGGGTAAAGTAGAGGACCTATATCCTAATGATGGTTCATTTGTGAGGTCAAATTCACACACTATTACTGTTTACTTTTCTACCGCTTTAATAATTTAATATTTTTTGTATCCATTAACTACTTCTTTTCAGTTCTTATCATTGTTTCCTTCCACTTAATGCACTTCTCTATATCTCTTTGTGTATGATTATCTTGTTCGTTTACCTCTGATGAAACGACCTACACCTTTACCAGTCTCTTGTTATCTGTTCCTTGCATCTAAGTGGCACCTGTCATATAAAACAGGAAATCTTTATTAGCTTGGGGATGGTCAATACTATAATGTTATGAACGCTATGTAATATTGGGCACGTGGTGGATAATTGTGTTGTGATGGAATGTAGTTATGTGGAGGAGCAGCATGATATGAGATGTTGTGTAATAATAATATGAAGATGAGGACCTGGACTGGGAGGTTAATAAAACTCATGGACGACAAATTTTCTCCTGATTCTTGTTTCTTCTCATTTCGTTTTTGCCTCCTCTTTTTCTTTCCCAAATTATTTTCTGTCCTTTCTTTTGCAGTCTTCCAATGAGTCAGTCGTTTTACTTTCCTCCCTTGTAAGTTTGATCGAATACTGTTATTTCTTCATAATCTTTATCTTCTCTTTTCTCAATTACTTTCCTAACTTCCTCTCTTTCTCATTTTCTTTTTTCACATTCATTTTCATTCTCATCACATTTCATCCCCTTCTGTAACTCCATAAACCAAATGACTTGCAATGTAAATCTGTCTCTCAGACAGTGAAAGGTTATTCCAGCTATGAGATCCTTGAAAGAAAAAGTATTACCTCAGTATTACAGTAAGGTTTCAAGGGGTATATCGATGAGGAATATCGAGCTAAGCGAATAACGACGTACACTTTAATAATGATCTACATGAATATTGAAGTAGACAAAGTATAATGTATACAAATAGTAATCCAGACACTTATCAGTTTTCTAGATGCATATCAATTGACACGAATAGGGTCGAGTTTACAGCGTTCTCCGAGGCTCTTGGGGCCATAATATACTATCCACGCGTCTCGTAGAGGAATAATATAGGGCCAAATTGGCTCTCAGACGTCTTTGTTGGGTAATTGTTGTTTGTTGCGCTGTGGTGATGTATGCCAGGGGGAGGTGACAGCTACACGGAAAATGTAAGCTTGGTGAGGGTGTACTCGAGAAAAGTAATGATCTATACAGCTGTCCTGAGCTTGGCTGTGGCGGTGTAACTGGGAACAGCGTTGAAAATGGGATTGTTAGAGGAAGACTGAAACTCCTCAACAATGCTGAAGGAGAAGCGGTGAAGGAGAGACGTCAAGAATAGGAACAGCTCCTGACGGGCCAACGGTTCCCCAGCACACTGTCGCTTACCTGGAGATAGACGCAATACACAAATTATCTACTGAAGACTGAAGACCACTGCATTAAATATTGACTGAATAAAATATAACAGTGACAAACAAAATTTTCCTTAATGAGTACTACAGCATCTGTTAACTGAATATGGAATTGTATTAACAAACAAAACTCTCGCATCGTTGGTCAACAAAATCCCTGACGTTACCTGTTCCAAAGGGCATGAAAGCCTCGTTTTTTACGAAGTTTCCATTGGCGTCGAGGAAGTTTTCAGGATTAAACTCCTTAGGGTTCTTCCACAGTTCACAGTCTGCCATGGCATCGTCCACGTTGGCCAGAAGAATTGTCCCTGCGTGGTTATGATCACTAATATAACGTGGTATTTTATGCAGCAACACACCAGCATTAAAAAGGAGTTATTACATCCTGGTGGCCAAGTTTATACACTATAGTTAACTAAATATTTGTTTATGAATGACATGTTAAGAATAGCTAAGTTTTCTCATCATTGTTTTATAATAATCTAGCAACAGTTAGTACAGATTCTTATATATTCATGCTTAAGATACTTTGTTTTATCGTCGTGAAATTAAAAATATTTGTAGTTTCTTCTAAAGCCGTTCCAACCACTTTCAAGCAAACAGTGAAGCGGCAAATTGAAGACTAAAGGTCCTTTGTTCCTTAAAAGATAACTTTCCTCAAACGGAATACCTGTACCTACCTCCAAACCACTAAGTTACCTTTAGGGATGTTGTATCCACCGAGCGTACAGTCTTCAGTCACCGAATGAGGCAGGGCAAACAAAACCAGGTTGAAAAATCGCTGTATTTCGTGTATTGTAGCTTGGGTGTAGGGCAGCCTGAGGGGGAAACAAGACACAAAGACGGTGTTACTCTAAAGCCATCTTAGGTCTGGGAATACGTAATGCTTTCTTGAGATAATGTCCGTCCTTGTTATATCGTGAGAATTCATTACAGAATTTTCATGCATTTTGGGACATGAACAACGACTAGATCTAAGGTTGACTTAATGCACCAAGATCAAGGTATTGGAGTGGACTGAAAATATTAAAGAGTTATAACATCCTCGGAACATACTTGAACACTGAAGAATTTAGAGCAATAAAGCCTGTGACACCTTTCTGTAGTCTTGGGCGCTACGTGGTGGACAAAAATATGAATGGTTGCAGGACATTAAATGACCAAGTACAAGAATGACAACACAACACTTAATGAATATATTTAAATCTCGTTTATTTAATTCAGGGACAGAATCATTAAGTATATATTAGTATCAGAATTTGTTAGTGAATATTTTCGTTTCGAGTCTTATAAGAAATGAATATTGTAAAGCTGAGAGAGAGAGAGACAAAAATAAGTTTCAGGGATAATAATGTTCAGCAATATACGCAGCAATTTTCCTCAGACTTATGAGCAAAGAGTTGACTGAAAAACCATCCGCATCTCCAACAAGGAATGTTGTGTCAAGCCGCTTGTGACCACATTGATGGTGATGTCCTACTTTTGACTCAAGCTGCTGAGATTGTCTGGGAACATATTTTACTCTCATAGATTTTCATATTTTACGTTTCTTTTCAATCAAATTACAAAGAAAGATCGATAAAATTGACTTTAAAGTCACTAATGTCTGAGCTAACGAAGGTACTTATACAAATTTCCCAGTAACATCCCAATGAAAATATTACGTTTCATATTTCTGATCATCGCAGTGATATCACATAAATGGTAGAACTTATTCACAGCGTTTTCATCCATACAACCATATGAAACAAAACTACGCTGGCAACGTTTGTGTATACTACTTATTGATTGAAATCCAATTCAAGTTTGTTGGCAGTCTTGTCATGTAAGACCTCTCTCTACTTACTTTTCCAAATCGGCGAAGGAAGGCAGTCTTTCCTTCTCCACAACTTGGTCAAGTTCCTCCTGGAGGCGCTGCTGTACTTCCGGGTTCTTGGCCAAGAAGTAGATACCAGTCTGCAGCGTGCTGGAGGTTGTCTCCATCCCTGCCACGAACATCTCTGCTACCACTGCCGTCAACTGGTCCACTGAAACAAGGAAAGTTCACGCCACAATAAGTTTTACGTACACTTATGTTATGTTGATGTGAAACTGATCCACAAATATTCATGCCCGTCATTTCTTTCAGTTCAAATCTTTGTCAGAAAGAAATATCTAGTTAGCGACATCTACAAAGTGATTCTTTACACATAGTGAAGTTCAGAATGAAACTTATGTTATATACTTACTGTGGAAGGTCGATGGTTCTCCTTTTTTCTTGTCCATTTCTAGTAGAAAATCAGACATTAAACAGTTTTTGGAAGTGGGATCTTCGGCATCCATAAATTCACGAATTTCTTCCTTCAAGGAAAATATCCCGAATTAATATAAAACAAATATACAGAGTAAATAAAACAATTATAAAAATAAAACATTTGCAGATAAGATGCTCTGTTGCTATAAGCCTTCCTGAATTGAGAAGTTAGTTTTAAGAAGAAATGCTGAAGAAAAAACACTTTGTGAGAGACTCTGAAGAACCCATAATGGTATGAGATTCGTCATTTCTCATTTAAAAAAATCTAAATAAATTCCGTGTGCTCTCCTACTTTACATAAAATGAGAATATTTTATCCGTGTTCTTAACAAACTTAAGTTACCAGCATAACATTTACTTTCTTATAGGCCTACACTACAGATCTTAATTACTCCGAGAAGGGCTAAAAAATAACTGATAGGTTCATGTCTTACCTTGATGAAATCAGCAATGTCGCGCAGAGAATCCATAAGTTTCTTCATGAAAGGAGTGTGAAGCATCACTATATGTATCCCGGGAATGAAATGCATAGGATCGAGGGCATTGATGTCTGAAAGCTGCAGGAAGGTGTTGAGCAGAGCATTGAGTTTCTCGTGACCATATGGGTACCGCTTCCCCATCACCAACCCCCACAGCGAGTTCACCACTGACCGGTTGAATAGGCGCTGCAAAAAGTCATGTTCCATTTATCCTTAGTAGAGCTGTAACTTGTAGTGTGAAGTGAGTTAAAATGCCTGTTTTTAATAATCATGTGATGAATTAAGTGTTGTGAAGTAGACTAAAGTACTGTACGTCATAATACAAGCGAGTACTAATCTGCGTTTTGATGTAAATTACAATGCTTATTGGGAGTCTATATACTTGTCGGTATCAGTGTACGAACCTTCATGGAAATAGGTTGATCTTTTTGCTGTTCAATGTATTTCATCAACTCTGTCACCTCGTCCTGAATGATCGGCTCCAGACTTGTCTTACCGAATCCGAGGTCCCGCAAGTGCCGGAGGAGGAACCTTCGCTGTTCTTGCCACATTGAACCATTTAATGCTAAAATTCCTGTTGAAAAGATTTACACATAAAACTGCGTGTGTGCGTGCGTGGGTGTGGGTGTGTAATATTGATATTAATGTCATGCGAGTAGAAAACAAATAATTAACTGCACCTATGGATAGAATGGATCAAGAAAACTGGTTCAACTTTGATCACGTCTAAATGTCTAAATTAATATGTAGTATAGTTGATGTAGTAAAGACCACAAAGTAGTTGGGGAGGGGGGTAGGCAGAATCCGTAAGTACTGCCCTTCACCTAAGATAGTCACTCCCTATCTAAAAGTGATGTAGATATTGTATAGATGATAGTGTAGTGTAGGGAATATAGTGATATGTCAATGTAGTAGATGAAGTGTAGTTGATGGTGTAATCATGGATACGGGCTTGAAGACAACCCTAGGCTATAGGGCGGGTCCCCGAGTTAGTGATAATAAGGTGTGTGAGTGTGTCATTAACCTAGGTTTGTGGAGCGTCCATCACTCAGCATGAGGTTCCTGGCCTTGAAAATAGCCAGGGAAGGTCTGCCTGTAGTGACCTTATTGGTAAAGATCTCCTTCATCACTGATACCCCGCTCACCAGCACCACCCTGAAAACGTCAGGCATATCACAACATATCCTCTCCTTCTACTGCTACTTCTGCTAGATGGAACTATAAGTGAAATAAGTCGGGTTTCATGTACGATAACCTCCTTATCTTATAGGAGAATTTACTTGTTATAAAGGACACGCTACTTATTTTACAGGAGACACTATTTATTTCACACGAGGCGCTATTAATTTCACAAAAGACGCTATTTAGTATTATATTTTCGTTTCATTTGAATGATAATAACTCAGGTTTTCAAAAGATTTTGAGGAGCTAAATTAATATTTGCCGAGGTACCTACAACAAGTGAGAAGTCCATTGATCTATGGTGCCATACCTGGTGTTAAACATGCCAAAACTCGCTAGGTTGCCATACTTCTTCTTGAGATCTTGCAGGATCTTTCTGGTGGGTCCACCACGCATCGTCAGTAGGGAACTCACCACAGGCAACATCGGCAACCCTGAATAGAATTAGAAACAAGTGTGTGTCAGTGTGAATGTATGGGGTTTTGCATCCTATTTGTGAAAACATCCATGCACAAGTTTGAATTTAAGTTTAATATATAAATTAAAAATCAATCGGCATGTTTTATATACTCGTAAGTTTAATCTATTTGGTTTTTGTTTTTGTTTTATATAAATCTTGTTACCTGGAGGAAAGTTGTGGGGCCGTACTCCTGGGCCGTGATAAAATAGGAGGAGGAGAAGGGAGAGGACAAGGAGAACCACGCCCCCACACCCCAGAGTCTCGTGAATCCACTCCAACATTGTCTGGGGAGAAATAACCAAGATTTACCTCAACATGTCATCCATCTGTACACCTGGTTGACTGCTGCTCTTGGCTGCCATATTCCTTCTATGGATGTACCCTCGTAAATAAAACACTGTATATTATGATTTATACTCAAGATAATAACTATAATATATAATTGCTGCTAAATTCAACATACGTAGTTGCGCATTCAATTGTTCTGGAGGTTCCAAAAGTCATACTCAGGCCAAGGTACCAACATAATGAATAAAAATCTTCCATCGTAAATTTCAAGTCGGCACTTAAGGAATCATAAGATTGTATGTGGGTCATTACGAAAATGTGAAGAATGAGGTAAATGTTGGGGGCAGCACTCTGTATAACTTGACCTTTCGTGCACCTTGACCTCGACCGTCTTCGCTGACCGAACCCTATAGGCGGCCTAGGAGTTGCCTCGGATCGAACAAGTGAACATTAAATCGAGAATCGAGAGCTATATTCACCTTCTATAAATATGTACTTACTGTTTCAAACTGTATGAAAGTGATACCTACTGTTCAGGCTGTGTGGGAGAGGAGAGCGCCGACTTTCTCGAGCTGTGTGGGACGGGCCACTGGGTGCATGGCGATAGCTATGTTCGTAGATAAAGACTTATGTTATCAGAGGAACACGAGGGTCACCTGTTGTTGATCGTGGACAGATATGATCTACAGATTGTCGATATAGGTACTCATCACATGTTGATTAAGAATTTTGTTTCAGTAAGTTTTTTTTTTTTTATAAATGAATGCGCTAATGACATTTTGGTAATGGATACAATTACTCGAAGGTTCATTAGGGTTCCAGTCCTTAAGCGACATGTTGAAAAATACATATATGGAGATTTTCCTAGAAATATATATATATATATATTTTTGGGGGTTTCTACAGAAAATTCGTAAATCCTCTTAATTATAAACATAACTGTCTCGGTGATAAAAAAATTTGATTTGTTTCATGCATCGCAGAGATAGTTATTAATTCAAAAATGTATTCTTACAACAGAATGGTATTCATATTTATAGCTGGAAAAGGAGTAAAGTTGACAGACAGCAGCCAAGAAAAACTGGATAACGTCTTGAGAGGACTAAATGCCCGGATAATTTTTGCTATGATCAACGGGTAATGAGGGATATCCTCTTAGGTCTAGATAAGTTAGCCTATATCCGATAATGTGTATGGGAATTACTGTTAGTATCTCTGTTCTGTTCAGTCTAATGGCCTTGGTTGAGTGATGACTCAGGGAAATGTTGGGTCACGGAGGAGGTGGTGAGTCACAATGACGAAGTCGAATCACGGAGACGAAGCTGCTAAGTCACAATGACTATTTATCAACTTGTTATCGATACGTTACCACCTACGACATCATTCTCCGGTGTCTTCTCTTTCATTCCCAGCACACGTGTTGTAATATTTATTGTGCTTCAGTAGTTATGGTTCTTTAATCACGTACAGTATACTATGTCTGATTTTTTCCCGTCTGCCATAAGCGTTGCTACTTGTTATTTTTAAGTATATACAAACACAAACACATAAACAAGTGGGAAGATACTAACTTTCTTTGATCTAGTTTAACAAGGAGGTAGAATTGTTCCCCCAGCAAGTGGTTCAAAGAATTAAAAGATGCTATTTAAATTCCTCAAGTAAATCTTAACTCTTCTGTTCAATTCCTCAGCTTGTAAACACTGTTGATACTCCTGACTGCTCATCATCCTCACCACGTCCTTCCCTCCCTCCTTCTCCCTCTATCCCCTGGGTCTCCTCCCTTCATCCGTCAACCCCCAAGAGGCAAAGACTAGGAGAGCCAGCCAGGCTGTCAGTCCATCTCAGAAACTGTCCCTTGTGAACACCGAGGTAGCCGAGAACTCCTGAGTAGGAGATTACCAGGTCCCTCACGTTGACAGCTGGATCATCTGACTGAAGAGATCATGATGTTGATTCTCTCTCTCTCTCTCTCCTGAATCTTTGCATTCTTATATTTTCGTTCACTAGATTCACGCGAAACTGTACTAATTCGTAATTTCCTCATTCTTATATAGTTTTAAATTTATACATTATTTTCAGGGAATATCTCTGACTGTAAATGATGATTGGTTAAATTTTCATTTCTTCTGTTGCATCAGTATCACTTATGATGTCATAGTTCTCAAGATAGCATGACTAGAAGTTTTAATTTGAGGATTCATGATTATTTTAGAGATTGTTGAATTTCTATAGAGATGAGTAGTTAAGGTACTCTCCTCCTGTCGTTATGGACGCTGGTTCTCGCTTGATGCCTAACTTTACAGTTAGGGAACTGCAAGCATTACCGGTCACACTGCTTAATTTACCGTGTGCTGTACCCGCATCATTGGACTCTCCCAGAATAAGATAAGTAATGTGTTACTCTTTTAGTAATAGTACAGAAGCAGTAATAAGCTTGGCCTTCGGTGCTCAGGAGACAAAAAAAAACATTATTGAACTTCGTTCTGCTTTTATCAGGAACAAACCATTTTTTAATAACTAGCTTAAATATTTTATTACTGTCAAGGTATTCATTAAGGGTTGTTAGATCTTCCCACCAATTATGATTAACTGCATTTATCCCTAAACTATGAATACTTGTACCAAAGGGAAAATAAAAATGAGTACAGAAACAAAAATGTATTAACAATAATAAATTAAGAATAGTTGAATTGAATTGAAACAGTTTATTTAGCCAGAAAAACACAGATACAGAGGGGATAATTATGACAATATTAACATGGCTGAGCCAGTTGAGAACCTGAGCTCTCTTTGAGGCACCTGATATATACAGTACTATACATTTATCTCAAGGAAGTATTATGTAACATTTAGTATCATCTGGAATAGTACAATAGCATGGTGGTAATAAGAACATCTTATAATGTTACCACGGTTATCACTTCAATATTAATTTATTTTTTTATATATAGATTACAGTGGAATTGAAAAACAGAAGTAGAATGGGGGAGCAGTATAACATGGGTTGTACATTAATAAGGTTGAACAAGAGGACAGAGCTGTCAGGATTATGACTAGTTGGCAAATATGTTTAATGTAATGGTAATTACTTATCTATTTACATGATAATTTCCGATAAAATGGTTTTGATGGTACAATAAAAGCAGGTACTGTAAATATAGTAGGTGTTACAAGAAATATAAATACATAGACAACAGATATTTTTTTAAGAAATGATTTAAAGGAAGGGAGAATAGTCTTTCCTCGGATGGGTGGGGGTGAGTTGTTCCACACCTTCACACCGTGATATTTTATGGAGGTCTGGGACCGAGAGGAGCGCATGGAGGGGTGGTCTTAGTAGCTCTGGGTGCCTTAAGTTGTATCTCCAATTATTCCGGAAATGGAAATAATTATTGTAAAGCAAGTGATTGATAGATTTGTAAACAAAGAGGGCACAGCAGTAGGTGTTAATATCTTCGAATTTTAAAATTTTCATTTTAGCAAATTTCTCATTTGTGTGATCTGTTTTTTGTTTTCAAGTAGGTCATTGTCCGTACAACTCTCTTTTGTGCAGTAACCAGCGATTGTGTTTTTGAGGAGACAGAGGCCCCCCATAGTATGTGACAGTGTATCAGGTGTTGGTAGACAAGATCATGATAGATTTCTTTAATTGCTGTGAGAGAGAGTGACTGTCGAGTGTGTTACATGATACCGCACTGTTTACTGACTTTACTATGAATGGCTTGTATGTGGCTTCTCCAGTTAAGTTTCTCATCAACAATAACTCTGAGGAATTTATTATTTTGTTCGCGTTTGAGGACTGTATTACCAAGGTATAGGGTGTAAGTTTTTCCTTCTGTGAAAGATCGTGCAGTGGGTTTTCTCAAGGTTTAAGGTCAGTTTATTACGTATTACCCAGCTCCTGACTTTAGTTAATTCAGTGTTCATAGTTCCCATCAAGGAATGGAGTCTGAGTTGCTGGCATAGAGATTACTATCGTCTACAAATAAGTTGTATTTTATGAGTGAGGTGGCGTGGACTATGTCGTTTATGTACAACAAAAACAGTACTGGACCGAGAATGGAACCTTGGGGACTCCATACAAGATTGGCGAAGAGTCAGATTGGTGATTATTATAGCAGACATACTGCATCCTGTTGGCCAGATATGAGGTAAACCAATTGTGGGACAGGCCCCTAATGCCGTAATGTTCAAGTTTTGAGAGGAGGATAGTATGGTCGACAGTATCGAAGGCTTTAGAGAGGTCCAAGAATATACCGACTGTAAACTGACTGTCAACAAAGGAATATAAGATGTCATTAGTAAAGGATAGCAGAGCACTCTCAGTCGACCTTCTAGCTCTAAATCCAAACTGGCCGCATATTAAGGAGACCATACAAAATATGAATCATGGCTGGTAGAGTTGGGGCCTGGTGTCACTTGGCGACTCGGGCCAACTGGACTTCATGTACACAGGGTTACACTGGAGGCCGCATCCATCAACGAGGGTGTGAGCACTATGTTGAAAAGGTTCTGTAGTGGGCTAGTGGCACACACAAATCCTAGCGAGGTAACACACTATACCAGCTAGCGGCAGGCCACACAGGTCGTCACACCACCACACTGCAGCAGCTCCGCCACTGCATACATAAAAAGAGAGTGGACAGGGGTCAGCGGCGAGGCAGGTCCCGGCTAAGTGACACCAGTCTCCACCTCAACCAGCCGTGATTCATATTTTGTATGGTCTCCTTAATGTGCTGCCACTATTCTTAATTTATTATTGTTATTACATTTTTGTGTTTATACTTATTTTTATTTTCCCTTTGGTACAAGTATTCATAGTTTAGGGATAAATGCAGTTAATCATAATTGGTGTGAAGATCTAAATTCCTTTAACGAATACCTTGACAATTACTTAATGGGATATTTCTCCTAAAAACAGACATAATTCAGTAATGTTTTTGTTTTATTAGACAAGGTACCGAAGGTGCTATGGCCACTCTTTACTTGTCATTGTTAACATACATTCTAAGTCGGCTTTTGTTGTTCCTGCATTAGAATCATATTCCACTCGTTAAAACAGACATTCCCCGGCAACGACAACAACGCGGTCAGTCGTGTTGACCATTGGGAACTTCTTGAATTATATACATGTGTTTATCACCATTGCATTATACTTTTTCAGACGTCGAAAAATTCAGTACTAGCGATTAATTTTTCTTTCTGGTGTGAAGGCCGGGGAGGGGAGTCTGAAAATGTTCCCATACCCATGTTTGTTATACTATTTTCTTGTGAAATAACGTAGACAATATTGTGAAGTCGGTACACACTGGCAGCGAGCAACCAATGTCGCAAGCAATCACGGTAGTGAGCAGTCAAGCCAGGCAGTATAACCATCGAGCAGACACGTCAACGCACAGCAATGTTCGACTACAATTACTATGGAACGTGATACCGCATTGGCCCTCACTATTGGCGTAGTAAGAAATACGATTGTAGTCTAATTTTCATTTCCTTATTTTGTCCCAAATAAGGTTAATAATTAAACTTAACTTGAAATATTAATATTCAATAAGCTATTAAGTTAAAAGCTTAAATCCAGAGACAGACTCGTTGGTTATTAAGGGGTATTGTAGGATCTCTCTGACACTGGTGGTTAATTTAGCTACCAATCAAATAGATAATTCCATCCTTCACCAACTCATATTTATATTGGGTGATATAGACTTGTGGTCTTCTATCAATACTCAAATGTTAGTTTAATGTGTAGAAGAGATGTGTAGTTGTCTGAGCACAGAGCAAAGCCAATATCAATTAGAAAAATACTCAAAGTATCAAACAAACTAGACCTTCCTCGGATAACTAAAATCGTAAGCTCAAAAGCAAGCGTGGTAAATTATTGCAATACTTGTACAGAGACTCGGTGACACTTGAAAAGATATTAGCTTCACCCAAACAAATAAAAGAAAAAGGCAACAATTCAATAAGATCTTTAACTAAAGGTGTTTTTATTACAGAACACAAAGGTAATTTTCTACACTAGACAACAAGTATTAAATGATTAGCTAAGATTGTAACATATACTCCCTTTGCAATGAACTAAAGGCATTAAAAGAAGGTTTACATTACCAACGTAACAGTGAGTCAGCGTTCATTACAAGAAAGAAGAATCTGCCTCGCCCCAAAACGATTCTTGATTGGTTAACACGAGATATAAATGACCACCACCAGATGCATATTTGACAAGAAGATATTTAAAAACTCGTCTCAGAGGGCCGGAGAGGAATAATGCTCAGAGGGTGATGGAAGAAGCGTACAAGGGGGAAGGGAGCCATCCGTCCAGTGGTGCACCAATGAAGGCTTTTGCTCTTGGTGTTTTGTTAATGATCTCGATGTTCTTAAAGTTGTTCCTGGAGTTCTTGTAAACACACAAACACACACACACACACACACACACACACTCACACACACACTCTCACTCTCTCTCTCTCTCTCTCTGGTCGTTTTTAGTGTACTAGCAGCTTTTCCCACCTTCACAATATTCATTTTTATTTTTACATAGAATAACACGAGCGTTAGGCAGAGAACCTCCCATTCCAACGTGAAATATCTGACCCAAAAATGTAGAGAAATAGTGTTCGATAGTTAAAAGTTTTTGAAACGTGGACTTTATTTTTCTCGATTTTCCTTTGTTGTTCTTATCCTTCCCATTTTCTGTGGTTCTTGTTCTTGTTTTTACGTTATTGTCTTCCTTGTTCTTCTTTGCCATTTTTTTTCTTGTCATTGATGTTTCTGGTATTGGTGTTCTTGTTTGGGGGGTAATTTTCTCTTGAACTGTTTTGTTTTTTGTTTTAATTATTCTTGATGGCCTTTTTATTAGTGTCCTTATTCTTGGTGTCCTTGTTCTTGGCTTTATCTCTGTCCTTGATCTTGGCTTTACCTTTGTCCTTGTTCTTGGCGTTCGTAAATTACACCCTAAATTCGATCTCCTTCGTGGCTAACGGTACACGATACTGAATCATGGAATGCCAACCTCAGGTCAAGTGAAATAATGAATATTTTGTATTTTTTCATAGGATACAACAGACAGCTCTTGACTGGGTACAAACGGTGTTGGCAGTCTAATTAACTGTACTCTTGTTTATCTGTTTATTCTCACCAAATGGACCATGAAGTGAGAGAGACCAGTTACAAATTGTGTGTCCAGAACTCAAGTTACGCAAACACCGGTATCAAGAGCTCTATATTTTTTACTAGTTGGTCAGGATCCTTTAATGTCAAATATTTATTAGATCAAAACATAAATCATAGTAGTGTGTGTGTGTGTGTGTGTGTGTGTGTGTGAGGGGTAACAGCTTTAGTTAGTTTCATGAGACCCATAGATTTAGAGAATAAACAAAAAGATCGTTTACGGGATATAAATATAAATTGTTCTGTATTATGATTTGTTTTCTTTTTTTAATACTGTTGGTGATGTGATTATGGTGATCAGATCAGTAATTGTTTGGGTTGGTCAGCACAGTGGAGATGTGAAGTTAGGGCACAGATGGTGTTCAGTTCCACCTAGGCAGTAAAACATACCTTCTGCTGTGACATTATTTATTTAAGGCTCCCATGCATGGACATTACGTGGATCGTTCAGTGATTAACTTCTGTAGTGGACTGTAACCCTCTCTAATTATTTTTTTTTCTTTTAACTCCTAAAAAACAAAAATGTTGTTTATAATGGTCATCAGTGTTAAATCCTACAGGATACCGTCTTGAGAATGCATTAAACATCTTATAAGCAGATAGTCTCTTGGTCGTTCTAATCACTGGTTAGCAGACGTGGGGCGGTGGTCGGCTGTGTGCGGGTGGTGGACTGGCTTAGGCCTTCGTGGTGGTTACATAAGCGGTCCCACACCAGCTCCAGCAGGAACACCAGCAAAGATAACACCAGACCTGTCCAGGTATTCAGCCATATATTAAACATTTTTTTCACTACATACGGGTATCATAAAAAAAGTCACATAATGATAATAATGGACACAAGTTAGTAATATTGACTATATACTCATGATGAATACCCTCTTATGTTAAAAACACTCTGGGTCACAAAGTCATCAACAGATACACAATATATAATTGTCATCGAAAGATTAGAGTGACGGATGTGTGCAGATGATGTATTTACCGAACCCAAACAGTATGAAGACGCCGTAGAAGTCTTGTAACTGGAGGGAACGTTGCTCAATGGGTTCTGACCCTGGAGGAGTGAGGCAGTGGGTAGAGTTCATGAGTTCCTCGTGCATCCAGTGGTTTATCAGCCCGTGTTCCCGTATGCTCATGAATCTGCATGGAAAAATAACACCCTCTTATCCCTCCTGGTAGTACAGGGTGGAAACTGGCGTTTAATCTGTATTGGAAAAATCGTGTTACTGCTATACTTGTACATGCATGAAGAAGCAGAGAATCACTTCAGATCTTCCAAAACATCAGCTCTTTGATCAATTATGTATATTTTCATTCAACATTGATACACTTAGATTTTATTGATAAAATTAATACTTGAAATTTAATTGACAATACTGCATGGTCTTTACATGTTCTTTATAGTTGACTTTTAGAGTTTAGTCTTTAAGTATGGATGGACGCTCGGATCGTTTCCCCCCTTCATAAGTCATATAGTTATATATTTGGGCTTTTACAATAATGGTGGTCAAATCTCGCTCAAAGCAAAGTGGTGTTGGTTCAAGCTGCCTATGAATGTTAACCAATTCAATGAATAAATTTGGATCTGCTTTCGGGTTTCTTCATACTCTTTTGGACACCAGCAGTAGTCAGTCACGATTAGTTTTATTTCTTTTGTCATGGAGCGGTGGTCAATGTACAGTACGTGTCCCAGGCGCAAAATTAATGCAGCTGCTGACGTTAGGAGTGATTTGACTAATTTTAAAAGAAATGTCGATTGTGTTGACAGCAATAAACCTGGTGGTAGTGACATAGTGGTGCTAGACGTGGTGTTAGTAGTGTTGTCAGTATGAGAGGTGGGTCCCGAGAAACACACACACACACACACACATGGGATTGACTCGGTCCTTGAGGGAGGTGTTCTTAGGGAAGCCGACACTCAGCATGTAGCTCATGATCACCTCACGGGTCATCCACAGTGGACACGTTGATGTCTGGAAATATAATATGACGATGAACAGGCAAGCTTAATAAATACATGTATAAACAAACATAATCTTTGGATCTCTATAATTTTTTTAAAAGGGGAGGATAAACAGTAATGGATATGCAAGAAGAGTTCTTTATTAAAAACAAATGAAGTAGCTAACCACAACACTCAACAGGTAAAATATCTCATTGACGTATATCATTCATTCCAAGATTATAGTCGGATAAAAAGCCTCAGTAACAACTTCTTCACGGTCAGTAAGAAATAGGAAGTGGAAATCAGAAATATTTTATAAAAAGGTTTAAAATCTATAAAGATATAAAATTTAATCAATAGACTATACAATGGTAGGTAAATACTCACAATAAAATGAGTATCCATATAGCATAGTTACCTTTAGAATTCCGTGTGATGGTGAAGCTAACTCCCTCTTCAAGACACTATTCTTACCACCCAATAATACCTCCCATTCAGAAAGTCTAAATTGGTATTAAAAGCCAAATTTGGTCGACGTCCATATCGATTATGTCATATTCTTAATTAATTACATCGTCCACAAAGAGGTCGGTGTCATTGTATGCGGAAGGCGTGCAGTAAAAGCTCTTTATCATGCTGGCTGGGCAACTTCTAGTGAACTGGAGTAAAATTAATTTCGAAAAACAAACAACACCTTTCCCGCAGGATTATTGAGGCTCACAAACACACGGCAGCATTAACTATATTTCTGTAAAAGCAGTCTGTAGTTTGTTGTTTTCTATAGAATATTATTTAATCGCTCTAACACACAGGTATGAACCATTAAAAAGAATTGGGTAATTTTGACACATCATGGAAAAAAAGCAAATTAATTCAATAACTCATCGATGAGAATCATAGCTGGAGAAACCACATAAAAGCCATTCACACCTGATACACTGTCACACTGTGAGGCGGGGGAGGTGGCTCTTCAAAAACACAATCCCTAGTTACTGCACAAAAGAGAGTTGTGTGGACAATTACTTACTTGAAAAAAATAATCACACAAACGAACAATTTGATAAAATGAAAATGTTAAAATTCGAGGATATTAACACCTACTGCTGTGCCCTATTTGTTTACGAATCTGTCAATCACTTGATTGACAACAACTATTTCCAGTTCCGAAATAATCAGAGATGCAACTTAAGGCACCCAGAGTTACTAAGCCCCCCCATGCGTTCCTCTCAATCCCAGACCTCCATAAAATATCATGGGGTGAAGGTGTGGAACAACTTACCCCCACCCCATCCGAGCAAAGACTACGCTCCTTTCCTTTAAATCATCTCTTAAAAAATATATATTGGTTAAGTTTATATATATTTTTTGTAATACCTACTTTATATACCTGCTTTCACTGTACCACCAAAACCGCTTTATCATAAATTATCATGTAGGTAGATGGAAATTAACAAAGCAATAAATATATTTGCCAACTAGACATAATCCTGACAGATCTGTCCTATTGTTCACCTTAATACAACTCATGTTGCACTGCCCCCCCCCCCTCCTTATCATATTTATGTTTTTCAATTTCTCTGTAAATTACAGCATGTATATACTTACACTATAAATGTAAGAAAAAAAATATTTAAATATCGAAATGATAACCATGGTAAGAATCTGATATGTTCTTATTACCACCATGCCAAGTGTACTATTCCAGATGATACTAAATGCTACATAATACTTCCTTGAGATAATTGTACAGTATACAGTTATTATTATGATTTTTAATTGACTCTGTATCTGAGTTCTTCTGGCTAAATATACTGTTTCAATAACAATATTCAATAGCAGTAACTTGAAAAATATAGTATACAGTACGTATATCACTTGCAGATTAGAATATATTTCTTTTGGTGCACATCAAATGCCCTAAAAAACACTTTCTTCCGACTTAGATAACTCATTCCATTTTGAGTGTCACCAGTCAGATACATTACGCCCCGAGAGAGATCTAGTGAGTTGTTATAATGTTATTTACTGCGCATCAACAACGAAGGTCTTTAAGCGCGTAACAAGGATAATAATACACAAGTTCAACAACGATTAAAACTTATGAGAGATGGAACTTTGTGTAAATAATGAGAGTGCATTTTTTCGTTGCCATGTTGAATGTCAGGGAAAATTAAAAAGTAGATTCTTATCGAATGTAACATTAATTAGACGACCTGGAGTTTTGTACGATATACTTGGAATCTCTTCGTAAAGACTTGTGAAATTTGATGTACGTTACCTTAGAGAAGGAGCCATGGAGGACATTGAGGATGGTGGTGTGGTCGATTATGATGGCGTGTCCTTCATATAAGATCAGCCTGAGTCCCTCCTGGTAGGTCCAAGCGGCTTGAGCCAAGTTAGACCAGGCGCGTCCAAATAGTGAGTCCCTGGCCGCTGCCTGTGCGACCACCACCACATAAGACATATTATAATGAAATATAAACTTTAGTCACCTCTTATGTACAATTTGGCGTCTGTGTGATGAGAATAAGAGTATATGCATGTAATTGAGTAGTTAGTTAAGCCATCACCTTAACTTCACGGCGAAAGAAGTTACAATTTGGTAAAGTGTTAGATGTGGTTGTTGGGTTAAGTGAGGGTAGGTGAGGTTAGGTTATGTTAGATTAGGTTAGGTTAGGTTAGATCTGGTTAGGTTAGGCTAGATTCCGTCAGTGCACCTGTCTGTGTGTGTGGTGTAACTACACACATACGCACACAATAAATTGCTTGCAATTACTGTACCTTGAATGTAGAGTAAACTGCTCCTCCTCCAATCACTATGTATGGTATTTCTGACTGTTCAATCAGTTCTTCTAAGTTGTTAAATGGGACATTTACCTATAACATATTACAAATATATAAAGGAACGAATGAATAAACTTTAAAACCTAACATATGCAGCAAATATGTAATTTTTTCATCATTATGATCCTCTATTATGGTAAGGGCGTCAAAAGTTAAATAAATTAAAACTTTCAACCTCCAAACACTTTTAACTTACTTAAAAACAGCTAACATTCATCTCTACTTACTGAGAATTTCTCATTTTAAGAATTATTTCAGATCAGAGCACTATCTTGGTTACACAAGATTTGTTGTCGATTCAAACATGATAATATTTATTTCTCGTTCCTAAACTTCCACTACCATGAGTGGTACGAAATCTATTGATAAATACACCTTTAGAGAGGTACCTTAGGTATGATGATCATGGCTTTGAGATTGCTTCTGTAGACAGTGGCGATGATGAGAGCTGCCATCAGCCAGAACCCTCCCAGCACCCGTCCCGTGTTGTTTGAGGGGAACCACGCCATCGCTGCCCACACACACATTCGTGTTATTCCAGCCCCTTTACCAAGCACCAATTACGCTATCTCTCACTACTTTCCCTGAACAACCTCTTATTGTATTAGATTATTGCATTGTAACTGTAAATTAATGTAACTCCAGAGTCAGTCTGCCATTTTACCAAGAGGTATTTCTTATGACAAAAATATACCAAATAAAATTCAGGAAAATCTTATCACACTCACTTGTATGTCCATTTACGGCAATATGAACTTGTTCCAATTGGGTCACATAAATGTGATTTGCTAACTGCTAATTCGCTTTGTTCTAAATATTAAACATTCTGAACAATAAAGATAAAGCTTTGGAAGTTCTTTATTTTATTATTTTAAGTTTTGTATTAAAAATACACCCTCAGTGTTTGACACTTAGATGGAGATATTCCCTTCGTTATAAAACGTTTCCGGTCTAAGCAAGTACTTAATGTACACTGGCTTCACTATTTATAAAAAAAATCAATAGACTGACGAGAACACATGCATTCTAGATGCACTTTAAGAACAAAATATTGGGTAGGAATTATAAGAAGAATGTTTTGAGTTCACATACACTGGTTAAGCAAGACGCCGAAGGTCCATAACATCAGCTGGTAGACCCTCTGCCATGTTCCTGCTGGTCCCGTCTCCCTCACCGACCAGTCCACAGCAAGCCCTCTGGTGAGCCCCGAGGAAGAACCTGAACCTCTATGTGATTTCCAGCTGCTGGGGGTCACCAGCAGGATACAGGTGGCGATGAAGACCAGTATCACCACCAGGCCATTTATAAGCCACATCTGCACACGGGAGACACGTGGTTAGTCCCTGTACACACGTACAGAAATTAATTGCAATCAATGAATTTTAAGCGCTATGTTACCTACCACAATGCCACACGATAAAACCTAGAGAATACAGAATCAGATTCACTCCAATCCCCAGCCTCGACTCAGCTCACCAGGGGAGTAAAAGGCCTGATGAAACCAGCTAGATCAGGCTCCAGCTTGGGACGGGAGTAGGAGATCACTTGCTGATCATAAAACAGTGGGACGCTCATATCTACTGCCGCAGCGCGTTCCTCATTGATAGCCAGGGGACCAAGTGCTATATCGACCTCCTAGAAAATTAAATCAAATATGTTATTGTACAAACTCAATGAACGGTGTGTATCTACGGATTAATATAATTATACATATTGTTTTATAAGTTACATGATGCCTCTGACTTCGCGTGTAGTGTCACTTTATGAGTGTGTTATTTGGATATACAGTAATGTTTACAGTTGAGTCAGGCGATGTACCATGATCTGATAAATGTCACAGTTAGTTTGGCATCAGCTATGGAGCCATTGACTGTGAAATTAATCTAAAAAAAAATATACACCAATTGGTTAACTAATACAGTGATTATAAGTGATTATGGTACACGTGTGGAGCCTTACCCCGCGGTGACACATGCCCATCAGCCCTGTCCAAGTGCCATTGGCGAGTATAGTGCCCCATCCGCCTGGCCCAATAGGTACCAACTCGTAGCTGTAAACAGTTTTGCGTTTGTTAGTTTCCTAGTGAGCTATTTACGAATATAGTTAGGTAATTTATTATATCGTTTCAGTCTCAATAAAAGGAAACTGTATTTATAAGCGATTAAATTAAAGTGAAGTGGTCTATGTATACATTGTCATAGGAATATACATATAATTACGAAAGCGAACGTATATATTTAGTACATCTATACACACGTGTGCTCATACAACATCCACAATTATATTTACAGCACACAGTGACACTCATCCACAAGTAAGCAGTCAGGCACGTACTACATAATACTGTATATAGACAAAAATATTTTCCAATCTCACTAAGTAATTTCGCTTCCCCAACAGACAGCTTCAAGTGCCAAACAATTCGCTGCTTTTGCAAAATACTTGAGAACATGTTGACAGCCTCTTACTCAAAAAAAAATTTCTTCTATCCTCTACTATTACAACCTAACCTAACCTAACCCTCAGTCCGAGTATCCATAAAGATCCACATTTTACAATGACAACTACAACGAATACTAATCTGAATACTTTTTTTTTCACTAAGACTAACAAATAAAATATACTATAATGAGGAGCTTGAGTGAGGTAGAATGATTTGTCATAGCTGGACATGATACTGTTAATGTCAATTTTATGGAGGTGAGAAATATGACTCTTAAATCGTCAGGGGTAAAGCTTATAGCGTCACCCCTCGTGCTGCTGACAAAATGTGGAAGATATATGCTTGTTGAAACAATCCAAATGTAAAAGCAATCAACTTACCAGAAATTGAGCTTGTAGGCAAGGACATCAAGGACGGTGCCCATAATCCCTGCTAGTCCGTCACCAGTGTACATGGAGAAGGGCGGCCACTGTTAAAGACCACAACACCTATTACTAGAGATGGGTTGTATATGACAGTTGATGTAGAGGAAAAAAATAGGCCCAAATATTTATCTTTGGCTACGAATGTTTATTACATTCTTGCTAGAAATTACATAACCCCTTTCTCCCCCACCAACCACTTCTCCCTCTCGCTCTCTCTGAATATGTTACGCCCCATTTGTGAAATTCCCCCTTTCATAATCTGGGTAGTCGTTTTGCCCAGTTCGTGTAAGAGCGATTTTAGTTTCTTACTTACATGGCCGTAACCTACTCTTAGGCAACGTTCTGCATCCATCTTCTCACACGCCTGGAATAGACAGAAAACTTTAGTATTTCAGTCATAGATTAATGCAACTTTATGAGGAAGACAGCGTTTGTACGTCAAGGTGAATGGGGGAAGAGAAAGGTGTGAGGGAGATGAAATACTGCACGACCATCCCTAACTGTCACCTCTCTATCTTCAAAAATTTGGAAATACATAAGATAACACACACAGACACATTCCAGTTACATAATAATAGCGAATTGTGCTCTGTAAGGTTTCAGAAAAAAAAAAGTTTGAACTGTAAAAATCATCACGTTGTATTGGTATGTTTACTGTTACCAGGAACGGCTTGGAGTCACTCAGGATACAATACACGATTATCCAAGACTTATCCAAGTTGCAACATTGTAGCCCACTGTTTTGGAGCCATCAAACGGTGAGGGAACAAAAGCGGACGACTGAAACACAAGGATTGGTTACTAATGATACCCGATTTTTTTTCCTGTTCTGGTACTCTATTTTACCCAATATTATAGAGGAAAATTATTTAGTGTATATATATATATATATATATATCTTGATAAAATCACACGGGAAAAGGGAAACAACGGAGCACCTTAGCTTTCGTCTTAATAAAGACGAAAGCTAAGGTGCTCCGTTGTTACCCTTTTCCCGTGTGATTTTATCAAGATTTATCTTATCCACGTTTTCATTGTGGATCTACATGAAATATATATATATATATATATATATATATATATATATATATATATATATATATATATATATATATATATATATATATATATATATATATATATATATATTCGCTTTTTTGTTTTGTTTCGTAATTTAGAAAATTAATTAATTCATCAATATCCAGTAAATTATTAAGATTATGTGCATAAATTCATATACGTATCTCATGTAGGCCCATAGTTTTCATATACATTCAATAAGTATTACACTTCCTTCGCTTTCATTATTATTATTATTATTATTATTATTATTATTATTGTCTCACAGCTATTTAGATTGCGTAGCAAATCGACGCTCTTCATACCTCAATATTTATTTATCCCGAAGTATGTTTATATTAATTAATTGTTACATACTGGGGAGACAGCAACTAGCGCCAACCTTAAAAGCTTCCTAATGAAAAATCTAATTGCAGTGTTATCTTTTTGGTCACTTTAACAACGTCGGTCACTGTAACTATTGGTCATTAACGAATTGATTACATGTCACTGGTGATGGATCTAAGAATACTGAAGTCTTATCATGAAGCAAACAATGAATGTATAATTATAATTTATATATATATCGTGTTTTGAAAAAAAAAAGATATCCTAACATATTTATTTCTTCACGTTAAAGTGGCATCAGCTTAATAAAGTTTTCATTGCATGCTAATATACTACCTTAAGAACATAATTTCTCCTCACGTTACAACAATCAAGATTATTAGCACAAAACACTGATCAAACATGAACTTACACAAGCGTTGAAAAACAAGAGGTGAAGATGGCCAGGCAGGAGGTGGGAGGTAGATGAGTGAGGCAACACACGCTGGTGGTAACTGGAGCAATGGTCGTCTCCCTCACCGCTTCTCTCAACCCCACTAATTACAGAAATTTACGGGATCGAAAGTGGGATATAAAGGTTAATAAATTCTCTCAGTAATTGCTTTAATAACTTCTACACAAAAAACTCATCGCGCACTGATGGTGGTGTGATATTCCGTTTTTTATAAATTGTAATTGTGTTTAGGAAAGTAATGATACGATCGCGGTGAGCAGCAGTTGACATTATCAAAATTATCATAGAATTCTGTGAAACGATCTATAGAAAATACCTTTGATGGCTTTATAGATCCTTGGTCGGCGATACATGTAAAATTTTCTCTTTAAGGACGATCTTTCAACAATGTGCTGCTTCATACATACATATCCAGTAAAGCAACCCAGTTATATTTTTTGGGGGAGTCATAATTTGATGCCATGAATATAACTCATATCCATAGATCAGTTGCGTTGTGCATGACAAATATTAAAGAGAATTACTTACAATACGTCAAGATATTGTTGAAAAAAATCGACAAATATTAATGTAATACAGTGCAAGAGTAATACAGTCATAAATAAGAAAAATATTTGTTTTGATGTTATATCTCTCTCTTTCTCTCTCTAGGTTTGTTTGATGGGTGGCGAAGTTGGTGAACCATTTCTTTACAATTGCTTTTTGTTCTTACATCAACACCCTGTTAATATAAACTGATGACCACACTCTTGAAATGTGTTTTGAAATATAATCAGTCATATGTTTTCAACGCTGTTGCTGTAATAAAGTTTTCTCTGAACCAATGATAATTACAAGAAAAAACCGCGCCACTTTTTCTCGCTATAATACCGTGACCTCAACTATAACCTTAGCTAACCTTTGATATTTAGTGTCTACTGAAACTGACCAGCAGCATTTTGTACACGGAAATATCCACTGTGGTATGTGGCTGCCTGTCCAATACCTTTAATTCCTGTTTCAGATCAGGTGCCCAGCAATAAAACCTGGAATTCTCTTTTTGATGCCCTGAATCTCGATCCGGATTTAATGGACGAACAGACCCGCTGCCGCTTAGTTCATACACTGGTGTTATTCACCATTGAATATTATAATCCCTAGGTATTGTAGCCTGAACTTGTACACACACGGGACTAATCCAACTAGTGGGAAAACGATAAAACATATATATATATATATATATATATATATATATATATATATATATATATATATATATATATATATATATATATATATATATATATATATATATATATATATATATATATATATATATATAATAAACTTGTGACTGGTACTGTACCTCCTATGAAATGGGAATGTTTCCCTTTAAGGTAATAATGAACTGGGAGGTCAACCTAATAGTGTTGTGCTGGTGCGTTTAAAAAGTGAAAATAAATGAAGCACTAGCTATCAGCAAATAGTCCTGTGTGAAGCTTCACTGAATTTACTTGGTTTTCCTAATATAAAAGTCCTCTGACCTATATACTCCAACACGAACAATACACAAATGTCATAAAAAATATGTCCAATAACTCACCTGATATAACTGTGGGCGCTGCCGCAACCTTATCTCTTCTCTATTATTATTAACTGGTCGAGACTTACAATAAAACTCACTGACAGCCGCGCCTGCTGTAACATGATATCTCTCACGATAATTACAAGTTGATCCGTAAAGGACTAATAATAATAAATACTACTACTACTACTAATAATAATAATAATAATAATACACTTGACAGTTAGCTCCACATAGAGAACCAAAAGACACTAGAAGAAACATACAAACGCTACATCCGATAAAGTGAGGTGTTGAGAAGTTCCCGAGAAAATTTACTTGACGAACACGAGCCATAAATTTGACCAGGAAGGCTGTAATATATAAGGAAATATTAGAGAGAGCTGATTTTGCAAATATATCGACATAATTGTGAAATGTTTATATACCGTGTCAATAAATAATGTTTTCTAAGATAAGGAGGTAGTGTAAATACGATAAACTATAAACTAACACACGCGCATACCAAAACATATTGCTTAGTAATTAGAAAAAAATAATAGAAAATAAATAGAATTGAATAGAAATGAAGAGAAGTGATTATATTGTAGCTTAATTTTTTTTTACCAAAGAGAGGTTGATCAAACAAAGATTGAAATGAAGAGGAGACACCGAGAACAACAATTAAGGAGACGAATGTTAAGTGTTGGGGAAAACTGTGTAAAGGAGGGAGTATTTGTTATAACGTTTTCGTCTCCGGTGTTCAAGTGTAGGATCGGTTAAGAAAAGGCATAAAGATGGATATTTCTAGATGTGATAGAGTAATGCATGAAGGCAGAGGAGGAATGTTTAGGATCAAAAGGTCAAATGCGTATGAGTAGAAACATAGGTCTATAGAGCTGTCGAGTACATTTATAGTTGTTCTGTGATGATCTAGACTCACAAAGTTTCCATTTATATCCAAGAAGAAAGGTTTCGTGGTTCTTATTCAAATATTTAAGGTAATACTTGCTCTTTGTCTCCTTGCTTTCTTCCAGTAGTAAACCTTTATCAAATATCTAACAGATTTCTCTGAAAATGAGGTAGAGCTTTCTTGACGGTGGCTGTAACTACGTCTTTAGAATACACGCAAATGCCTTTTAGTATCTAACCATTGTTCCACAGTGCAGCGCGGTGGCTCGGCTTTGGGCTGTTTTCAACCTGTATTTGCTAATAGGCAGCTGAGGTTTGAGCGAACGCATCAAAGCAAAGGAGCCCTTTGTTATTCACGAGAGAAGTTAGAGATAAATTGACCAATAGGAAATCCAATGATATGTTCACAGCCACTGAAGCTTACGTAGTATATCGTCGGGGGATCCATGCAACCTCCCATAAGCTGTACTGACGGTCGTGGCTCATGCCCAACCAACCAATATATAACACGTGTATCAGTTTATGTTGGAGAAGCTTAAAATTTATAATAAGTCACCAAATATTTTCAACAAAGGGACCTGACCCCATCCGAGACCCGCTTCGAAGCATCATTATCTCGGAAGGCTGGGTGAGTTAGATGGATGAGGTGAAGTGTGTGGGAGGCTGGGAGAGGTGTGGGTGTGCAGCAGCAAAATTTTTACCTCGGTAATAAATTAACACCAAGGAGCGTGTATTCAAGGTTAGTACAGTTTATACACCCTCTTTTTTATTTTATTTTTTTAAACTTAAAAACAGAGTCGGGTTGACCACAAGGCTTACAAATAGTGTGGCCAGGCTCAGGATTGCCAATGTACTAGGCGCGGCGAAGTGCAGTGGGGGTGGAGGTGATGTGGTGTGGTGGGAATGGTACAGTAGGGTTGAAGGGAGGCACATGACAATATTGAGGGAAATACCTTTTAGTGTGATTGTGAGGGCGTGTGCGTCGGCATGCCGGTGGAGTACGGGTAGCCGAGGGTGATGTCCTCAGGTCCAATAGGTAGCCCTGGTGGAGACAGCAGAGACACAGGAGCAGGCGCGGCTTCCGGTGGGTAGACAGGTTGAGGCACCACGTGTCGTGAAGATGAGGCAGGACTTCGCTCGGGTGCAGCAGGACACACCAGGACAGGCCCGGTAGGCGCTACACCAGTGGTGATGGCCGACGGCGGTGGGGTAGGCCGTGAGCAGGGGAAGCTCACAGGGAAACTACCAGCTCACTCCTGTTAGTCACACACCGTCGAGGCTATCTAAAATAGGTTGTACAATTTCACTTTTATGATTATTAGATTTGTTCCTTTGCTCACATCTTCCAACGGGAGAATGAACACCATTAGAATGGGATAATAGATACTTAATGGCCACTCGTCTGTGTACAGATGTTATAGATTCAAATATTAACACGATCACGAACTCTTGCTAACAGTCTGTTTATTATTAAGATGGCGAACGTTGCTATGGACCTCACTGTTGTTGTTATAATATTGTCATTATGTTTCAACAACAAAGGTCTTTAAGTAATAAGTAAGCATGAAATGACCACTATGGGAATATTGAAGTTTTTAACACCAATCTTACTAACTAAAATATAATTCAACTTGCTTATTGAAAACATTTTAGTTCTAGTTTAAGTAAAATGGTATACATGAAGATTCACTCGAAGAATAACTGCCTGAAAATTTTCTACGTGTGAATATTTCTCTCATTTACTTCATGCATTCCAGCTTATGATGTCATTTGGACGTTAAATGCCACGGAGTTCTTGGTAAACGCAACGTATTATACTTAACTATACTATAACTGTAGACAAATATGTGTTGCCATTAATGTGATGGCTGTCCCTAACATTCCCTTGCTTTCGTTTTCTCTCGTTCACGAGGGAAAGTTTCATTTTCTACCACTACGGATATCTTCAGGGGACACTACAAACTCGTCCAGAAACTAGCGAATGGTGGAAGCACCTCAGTATAGATAGAACCAGTAACACTATAGGTCATAGAAACGCAAAATATGGTATCGGTAGCACCACTAAAAGAAGCAAATAAATACCAATAATACTATCAACAGTGTAAGGGGCTCGTTTTCCAGTTCATTTTTATTCTATTTATTCTTCAATACTTATGTACTTGCTTCATATCTGCATTTTCTATTAATCTTATTTTCTTAGTCTTTCTGTCTATAAGTATCTATCTTATATTTCTTTGCTTATATTTTCGAAGGTAATATTCTTTTCTATATATTCTATATATATTATTGTATTTTCTGAATTTTACATCTTTTCTTTCTCTCAATTTATTATCATGCTTTAGTTATATTCTATACCATGGATCAGTCTGGGAAAACCATGTCATTCATACTATAACACTTATTATACTTACAACGGTAGCCTGCCACCACCTAGACTTATATTTGGCGATCGTCACTCCACGAACAACTATAGACCAGTGAGCCTGACCAGCATAATATGTAAAGTACTTGAGAGTATTATCAGAGATGCCGCAATGGAACATCTACTACGAAACAACCTTGTAAAGGATTGCCAACACGGTTTTATGCCCGATAACGGGCATTTAGCACGTGCCCGCCGGGCACTGCTCGATCGTGTGGACGGGCCTTAAGATTGAGAGAAAACGGAGGACTCAGACTTCCTGAAGCGATAAGAAAACGGATGCCACAGACGGGAGACTCAATAAAGAAGGCATAGCTACATGTTTTGTGGGCTATTGAGCGTAATATGAATCGTCTGATTTTACGTTAACTAATATGTATGACCGTGGTCATTACA